GTGGTTTGTCTTACGCCGACTTTTTTTGCATTGAGTCTATGGGAAACCAAACAAACACTCCCGTGTTAATTGTTTTAGGCAAAATTCATCTTAACAGAGCTTATCTTAACACGAGTTTACTCTAGCATTACGGACTCATAAACTGTTTAGTGGATTAAAGTGGAACTTCGATTATACGTCTCCTGGTATCACAACAACCGACATATTGTGACGAATCAGTTTGGTCCTGGCAAAATCCTCATAAAGTTAACGTATCAAGAACCTAGATTATCAATGCAGTTTTACGCCAACCTCGCATCTTACGACGACTTTTAGTTTTCATTCAAAGGATAAAAAAACACCCTTACTCAAATAAAACATTAAGCTAATATTCACAAGTGCAAAATATAAACTTGTGTTCCCCTAGGTTGACGGTTGAAAAGTCGATAGCGAGACAGAATGTCTTTTTAGAACGCAAATTTATTCTCCCGGCAGTTCATCTACTTCTACATATGCTTCGATCGTTCGTGTATCCATCTAGGGTCATTACCTAGTCAAGCTCTATCCACCCAGAGTAGCTTCAGCTGGCCAAAAAGCTGATATTTTCTTGTTTTTGGTTCGTGGAAACTTTTCCTGATCGACATACAGCTCATCTCCTGCCTTTGTCACACTCGTAGTCACAAGCTTGCGCATGCATAAGGGCACGATAGAGCTGTTTTTAACGCGCAAAATTACTTTCGCTTGACGTCAACTATCATAATAGCAGCGAGACACCACTAGCTGCACTTCACAAGACAAGAAATTACAACGCTCACAGTTTGTGAGCGTTGCGAATTGACCACGAGTTTGTGTAGAATGCACGAAAGCATTAAACTCGTGGTCAATTTGCAAAGCTCACAAACTATGAGCATTGTAATTTCTTGTCATTCTACACAAACTCGTGGTTCGTCGCCATTATGTGATAGCGTTCAGACTGTGCCCGACTCTTCTGACGGGAGGCTCTTGACAACATGATTTCCGTTTCGTTTTCAGGCACAGGCAATTTTGGGACTCTGTTTATCGGTAAAAAGATGCGCGTTAAGGTCGTCATTTTTTAAGGTTGAGAATAAAGATTCTCTTGTGCCTCCTTCAATTAAGTGACACTGCCATTAACACTCCCTTATTGTATTCACTCCTTTCCAAAGCTTGTTTAAATTGACTGCAAAATGATGGCGAAGCTAAGTAGAAGCACTGTGACGTTTCTATGACTCGCCTTCACAACAAAACGAGAGGTGCGTTGGTACCTCTTGGGACAATCCAGGATAGACGCACCTGGCATTGTAGCAGATGATACATTGAGTGTTGGCGAAGCTAAGTAGAAGCACCATGACGCTCCTATGACTTGGCTTCACAACAAAACGAGAGGTGCTTTGGTACCTCTAGGGACAAGCCGGGACAGACGCACCTGGCATTGCAGCAGATAATACATCGAGCGTTTCTCACCTAATACTGTACTGTTATTTACATACATATATAACACATACTTTCGAGGAAAAAACAAAAATGTTTGTTTTGATGTGTTGTAAAAAATAACTCATTATCTCTTGATGCCAAATTTGGACTGCAATGGCAGAGAAATGCATAACTTGGTTGTAAAATGTTTCTACGTTTCGCTTCCATCTCTTGGTCACACAAACCTCTTTCAACAAGTTTCATGTGCAAAAGAATGAAACAAGTTTCAAATAAATATAACTTTATATGACTTTGTTTTACACTTCGGCAAACAAGGGTCGCTAAGCAGATCCGAAGCCTGTACTTCCCCTAATTCCCGTGAGGGTATAAGCACCGCTGAAGGAGTCTGCATAAACATTAGTGTCAGATTCCCCTCCAAGTATTACTAAATAAAACTCTATGTTGCAAGCCAATCATTTTCTTTGATTTTGTCTAGTTCGCAACTTGGAGCTCGCGTCACCAAGCAGAATGTTCCCACCATCAATTTTGTCTATGTCTGATACTACCATTCCCTCGGTGATCCGGTTGGTCATCTTTGTAATAAGCAGATCTAATGTAGCAGTAGTGGTTTCTTTCTGTGATGCGACCTTGGCATTACTTTGCTCTGCCCTGCAAATCTTTCATCCTATGCACGGAACGTGAATGCCCGCCCTTTCTACACACTTCCATTGCAACACTCCATCTGAGACTGCCAGATCTGACAATGAACACAGCAGAATTCACAACCTATGGAACAACACACACTGTTGCTAAACTATGCTGCACCACACAAGAATTTCCAAAGTCGCTATTGGGCCAAGTGAAAATGCTAAGATATATTCTCCACCTTTTTTGACAGGGTGGCCCAGCATATAGCTGGGCGCCCCTTCTGCTCACTTTTTCCTTTCTCCATAGGCCAACTATAAAGTCAGTGGAAAAACATTTTCAATGTCACGGCCGGACTCGACTCCTTCTCCGGCGCTCCCCTTACGGCCTTCGTTTTGCTGCCTGCCGCCGCAAGTTCGAAGTTCGGGGTGGCGCTGCTAGACCACTGTTGCTCCGCCGCCTCCAAGCGCGTTCACGGGCGCAGTGTGCGCGCCACAGCGCTATGGCCATCATAACAGCGCTGAGTACGAGGAACAGAACCAACTGCGGCACCTGAATTCTTGAAGATGAACGTTTTATCCACACAATACAGCTCGGTCGTTGCATGTGATGAGGTTAAAATGGTATAGTCGACCTCTGAGAGCACCGCTTACCCAGTCGCAACCATTCCGGCAGCTTTCCCGGATTTTCGCACACGCGTGTTGTCACAAGCAACAGTAATCCATTACAGCGCACAAAATTCAGAGAGAAAAAGCAATATTTATTTTGTCGTAAGGTGGACTAGAACTTAAATAAAATAACAATTTCTGTGCGAGGTGAGCACAAATACCTTTTTCTTTCAAACCCACGCTAGCAATACAAATTAACACAACACAAATGCATGGTACAAATAAAGCGAACCACCATGACATACTCATCACAGTCTGAAATATTTTCTAGACGGCTTGTCTAGACGGCAAGCCCGAGGACTTGAAGTGGTGCTACCCGACATGAAGCTGGGGTTGTAGTAGGTGCGCAGTTACCGATACCTGAATAGCCGGTACCGTGCAGGTGTAGGCGGAGTGTGCTAGGAAAAGAGCAGTGCGTACAAGGAAGACAAAATAAAATAAAAGGCGAAATTTGTCTCTTTCGAGCTAAGTGCGCCTTTCGTAAAAGGTGGGCCGCGTGAAAATTGGGCAACCTGATACGGTACTCCGACGTTAAGTTCGCCCAGTCTTGCATGGGAAACGCGCTTAGGTTACTTGTATGCGCATCTGATGGCTCTGAAAAGGAGCTATTTTACACATGAACCAAAGGGCTAACGTGTAGCGTAGATGGGTTGGAGTGATTCGAAAGATTTTACGAGAGGTACATTGAGGAAAGTATTCGGGGCGTGATCACATTTCAAATTTGCGAAGCGTAAGCGCAGTGTAGGAGTAGCATTTTTTGTTTTCATTTTCGCGCTTGCGGCATCCGTCCGTCCGTCCGTCCGTCTGTTTCGTGAAGTAGTAGGCACAAGGAACCTTGTAGGAATTGGTGACACCGTGGAGAACGAAGCGCGGGGACGCGCGGGGAGCCGGCGGAGCTTACAGTGAGGTGGTGCTGCCCTCGTGCGATTAGCCGCCGCACTACGCATCAGAAAAAAATATATGCGCGGCGCTGGTATTGAGAAGGCCGTAAGGAGCGTGCAGAAGGAGTGTCGAGTCCGGCCGTGTCAATGTATACGAGCCTTGTGAAAAAGAGACAAAAAGACGTACGAAGATAGAGTGACTACTCAAGACCACACACAAGACGCACTCAGCAAGACGGTGCCTGCTGTGGCAAAATGATGTGTGCTCTTCAAATGGAAGACTTTAGGAGAGAATACACTAAATTCTAGGCTTCATTAGAGGGCTTTGAATATTTGAAGAATTACGACAATTCTTGAGTTTGCTTTGATTCAAATTTAAATTATGGCAAATTTCAAAGTATTCGACATGAACAAAAAGATGTATCTTAGTCTGCAGGTAAATCCCCTGTACATGCCATTTAACTGCATCAAATGGGTGTTATACCGTGAATACAGCTATGCAGCGGTAAACCACACTGCCACAAAGCCCTACTTCAAAGTTAATATAATAATATTATTATTAAACATATTAAAGAATAATATAATAATAATAATTGTTGAAGTTTAACATCCCAAAATTATCATATGATAATCATAGAAACCGTAGTAGAGAGCTCCAGAGATTTTGACCACCTGGGGTTCTCTAACATGCACCTAAATCTAAGCACACGTGCCTCAAGCATTTTCGTTTTCATTGAAAATACGGCTACTTCAGCTCGCATTCGATCCTGTGACCTGCGGGTTAGCAGGGCGAGCGCCTAAGCCACTATACCATTGTGGCGGGTGCCCCACTTCAAAGCTAAATGAACACCTTACCCTCACATCCCTGTTTACTGGAACCTTAAAATTTCAGTGTTTAGAGTGGGACCACACTGCCACTCAGATAAAAATTTCAGTGTTCAGAGTGGGGCCACACTGCCACTCAGTAGCCTCAAAGAAACATGCTGCAGTGTCAATGGGGATATCATCAGACGCAAACCAGGACTGCGATGCCAGACAAAGAGTATTTCCAACCAGAAACTGCCATTTAAGCAGGGAGAACACTGAAGTATGGCATGGCTCAAGCAAGCTGCACTTGAATGAGCACACTAAGGTGCAGAGACACGGGTTGTACATTAAATGGTATAGTTGGAACACTACTGTAATACCCATTCGCTATTTTAATATGGCCCTATAAGCACACTTCCGAGGCGAGTGCCTCATGAGATAAGCGATAAGCATACACAGACACCATCACGGACATTTTAAGGTGAGTACTCCTAGTGCAGCAAACCAGGCATGACCATACAGATACCTCCTTCACTATACTGGGCAAGGTCCACTGAATGCAGGAGAAGGGAAACTGCAGGGCACATACCTCGGATGTTGTCTGCGCATGGAGAAGCAAAAAGACGAGAAGGTGCTCAGAAAAGTGCTGGATGCAAACAGGTGCTAATATTGCATCATCTTTTTAGGACATTATCCAAGTCTATTGCTATTCTTGACAACGCACGTAAAGCACAAAACAATTCTTATAAATCAGTTTGTCATCCACAGTGAATTTTCACACAATGTGCACGAGTTGAATGTGAAATGTTACCTGGGTCACTCGTAAACTAGTCCAAGTTGTGTCACATGACCTAGAAAAAATACACCTATATTTATTTGTTTAGAACCTGAAGAGCTACCTGCATATGCTTAAGTGCTAGGAGCAGAAGTCTCTTTTTTTTTTTTTGTCTTTTGAAAAGTTAGTTTTGCTATCTTCATAGCAGCCGTAATACAAGCACCAAATTTGGATCTCTGCAGATTGACTAATGATGATCTGATTTGAAAACTGCTCGAAGTGCTGCATTTAGTGCACATGGTTGCATTCAGCTAAGCAGATCCGTATATTTGCCAGGTTAGACCTTAAAATACAGGAAATATCTCCCACCCCTTTTAACATCCCTTGTAAGCATGGTTTAACAGCAAAAGACTATTCTGCACCAGACACAGGGTGAAAAGACAAGATCACCACTACACAAGTTATAGTGAAACCCCAGTGATACAAATCTCGAAGTGCAACGAAAAATAATCTGAAATCATCTCAAATTTTTATAACCCGAGAACATGGTAAACCAGTATGCCACAAATGAAAGCTAACACAAGTTTTCATTTATTGTTTTTACCACATCATGAACCGCTCTGAATCATTGCCAGCAAAATTTCTAGACGTAAACGATCATATTTGTAGTTGTAAATATCCACACAACGTTAACTAGTTACAGTTACGATCCCCGACTCTTCTTAAAAAGACACTCAAAAACATTTTCGCGTGAAATATAATTTCCCCATCCCGAAAACACTTCTCTCACCATGACATGATGCTTGGCAAACGAGAAAATGCACGAAAAAAAAAATGCAGGAGGCCCCATGAGATACCCACACCAAATGCCGTGATGTAGTGAATTTTGATGCCCTCTATTGGGTCCCACATATCTCCTCTTCAATAAAAAATGAAGCGCATTATCATCAGTGGGTGCCATACATCTATTATACGAAGTTTTCGGAAGTTTCATCCAGCCAAATTCGCCAAAATAAAAAGCAGTACATTGAAATTTGTCACGTCTAGCATGGAGGTTTTAGTGTGAAATTTAAAAATAAAACTTCGACCTTGGTTTCCTCCGCTAATACGTAATGGCACTAATGACCGTGAAACTTATGACATTGAACTTCTCAGAGTGTAGTTTATCAATCTAAATTAAATCACTGTTTCTCTTTAATGTCCCTTTAAAGGGCCAGTAAACAGGCTCCGCCATTTTTTTTTACACCCCCCATACGAGCTCGGCAATTCTTAGATTAGACCACAGCGATCACATTTTCTAAATATTACAGCTCTGCGCGTCGCGCAGAGCCTCTATTTCGAAAAATGATTCTCTCGCATCTTTCCTATGCCTGACCAACCCCCTTGCACGCGCAGTGACGTCAACTTGGCGATTCGCGACGCGACGTAGCATGTAGCTAGTTGAAGCAGCTCACTGAATGGTCTAAATCAGGTGTGAAGCCAACATCAGTTCCTGTTCCCACCCACAGCTACCAAACTGCCCCTTGTTTTTTGGCAATGCGGTGAAAGAACCAGCCTCACAGTTGTCACGTGCTCGTGTACACTCCTCGCTCAACTACAGCGCCTGTGCGCACTTCGCCCTTGACATGAGTAACACGGGTAAAAAGCGTTGCTCTGTCGTCAAATCGGGCAACTGGGCAGCACAGAAGCATCGGCACTGAGTGCCTCTTGATAGGGCCCTGCGCGCTGCATGGCTGCAGCGAATCGGCCATTCAGCGACGTACGCCGGGGACGTGATTGTTTGTGGTCGACACTTCGCACCTGACGCTTACACGGTTGACCCGCGGCTGGTGCGGCAAACGGTAAAAAAACAACCACGCTTCCTAGCAAGCGGAAGTGCGTTGCGACCAATCGAGTTCGCCGATCGTGTCAATCGCTGCTGTGGTGTCACGTTGCCGAAGTGGGCAAAGTCAAGACGATGGGCTACGCCTTGTCCTTCATGCAAGGAAGAAGAGGGCGAGGCCGCGCAAAAATTTGAAATCAGCTTAGACCGATGTTCTAACCCTTGTAACTTTTTAATATAGCACGTATTCGCAAAATTTTTGTGGCAGAATTTTCGCAAAGACAAACTGCACATATATATATATATATATATATATATATATATATATATATATATATATATATATATATATATATATATATCTGTTTTAAACAATTTTTGACCTCAGGGCTGTTTATTGGCCCTTTAAGTCACGCTTTTTCGCATGACAGCAGCGTACTGTGGCAAAAATGACATAACATACACACTTGCACGCTATGCATGAAGGCTAGAAAATTTCGAAATCACTTTCCTTCACCGTTATTTTCTTATCGTGAATGGTTTGCTTAACATTTGAGTCTCTCCCATGCGAACCTGAGAGTTGGCCGATGTGCACGTCCCACACCAATCGTGCATGTTGACATTAGTCGAGAGTTCGACGGAATGCCGTCTGGTCAGGTAAAGGCATTGTTGAAAAAACAGGTCACTGACCAATGTCAAACAAAACAATGACGTTTCGGGACCCGTACGGGTCCCTTGTTCACAATGGAATGACGGCTGAGCAACAGGTTCCTATGTAACGTTGAGCGCATGACGCAAAGTCCGGGAGTACACGTGGTTTAGTGTGCCAGATGATCTATTGATTCGAGGTTCAGTCTGGTTGTAAAATTCTTCTCCGTGGCCACGATGCGTGCGTTGTCCCAGCTTATCTCGTGGCCCGTCTTCTCGGCATGCTCTGCGAGTGCATTTGTCACTGTGTGGCCCTTGGCGACGTCATTCTTGTGTTGCATAAGACGTTTGCAGTAATTTCCACTCGTGCCAATGTACACCGATTCGCAATCGGCGCATGGTATCTTGTAGACCGCGCCAGGAAAGTGTTGCCGAGGGAGAGGATCCTTCACATTTAGCAACTCAGCCTTAAGCTTGCTTGCTGGAACATGCGCGATCTGTACACCACGTTTTCTGAATAGACGGGCTAGGGCTTCGCTTATATTTCGAATATAAGAAATCGATGCACGCTTTTTTGTAGACGATGTGTTATGCATGGCCTGACTAGTTGACTGCAGTTTATGCATGACGGATTTAGTTGTTTTTCTAATAAAAATCTTGGGGTATCCATTCTTGATCAGGTCATCTTCAATGGTCCGGAGCTCCTCCTGCAGGCTTTCTTCATCGGAACAAATGCGAATCGCTCGTTGAACTAAAGACCGAATCACTGAGCGTTTGTGGGCTACCGGGTGGAGTGCGTTGGCTTTCGGTACACAGCGAAGGCGAGGCCTATGGGAGTACGTTTTACAACTGCATCCAAGAAAGCGAGGCAACCGTCTTTTTCTTCTTCCACAGTAAACTTGATGGAAGTCTCGACGCCATTTAGGCAGTCAAGGAAAGCTTGGACGTCTTTCTTCTTTATCACGCAGAAGCAGTCGTCGACGTATCTCAGAAAAACCTTGGGTCTCGGCTGAAATGTTCCCAATGCTTTCTGCTCAATTGCTTCCATTGTGATATTAGCAGTTGTGACCGAAATCGAAGCTCCCATTGCGGTACCGAAAACTTGCCTGTAGAATTCACCCTTGTACGAGAAGTAAGTGTTGGATAGGCAAAACCGTAACAAGGTGCACAGCTCGGTGACGTCGAACGGTGTGCGATCGGCCAATGTCGTGTCCTTGTGAAGCAATTGTCTGGAAGTGTCTACAGCAAGGTCGACGGGAACACTTGTGAAGAGGGAGCAGACATCAAATGAAACCATTACTTCGTCGACATCCACAGTGATACTCTTCATTTTGCTTATGAAGTCATTGGTGTTCCGGAGGTTAGTTTCAGTCTTGCCTGCAAGGGGAGCCAGGATGCCGTGAAGATACTTTGAGAGGCTGTATAGGTGTGACCTAGTGAAATCTACTATGGGCCTCAGAGGCGTTCCGCTTTTGTGAATCTTCGGTAAATCGTATATCGCTGGAGCAGAACCATTGGTGCACAGCAGCTGGAAGTATAACCTTTTTGCTGATGCAGGAAGCGTCTGAAAAATACTAGAGAGCGTGTTTTGCAGGCCCGTTTGGACTTTCGAGGTAGGATCCTTGTTAATCTTGACGTACGTTGTACAGTCCCCCACTATATCCGTCATCTTCGACTCATACGTCGACCGGTCAAGCACAACCGTCACGTTGCCTTTGTCCGCAGGAAGTACGGCAATCTTCTTGTTTTTGTGCAATGCCTTAATCGCTTTTTCCTCGTCTTCCGAGAGGACTTGCTGGCCGCCAGACTTGCGAATTCTTGATAGTATACCTACTGCTCTCGTACGGATTTCGTCTCGCTCACTTTCTCCAAGTAGACCAATAGCGTTTTCGACTGCACACACGACTTTGCGTGTGTCCGGCTGCTTTGCTTGGTTGAAGTTGAGACCACGGCTCAAAACTTGGCATTCCGCAGGAGTAAGCTCGTATGACGACAAGGTCCTGACCTCGAACATGGGTCCTCTGGTTTTCCTGCCTTTTTCTAGCAAAGCACTCAGTTTGCGCTCTTGTGACGTTTCCTGCTTTTCTGTTCGTCGTCGCGATGCTTGGTTCGCCACGAGATGTATTTCAGGGAGTAATTCAGGCATGATGAATTCCAGCTGGCGTGTTGTGAAGAAAATGTCAGTCTCAAGGCGCTTCACAGTCTGCTTGCAGTCTTCTATCCGTGCTTGAAGAAGCTGCCGTTCAGCTTTCGAAATGACTTGATGACCGAATGCCGATTTCACAGGGTTGTCCATTGGATTGTCCATACGTGAGCATACGCCACAAGTATGGACAATCGGCTATCACCAGGATTC